GTCTTTATTAGCATAATGGGGCATTTAAAACAGTGTTAAGCTGTGATCACAATCTTTTTAACTCGGCAAACGTCTAAGTAACTAACTGTAAAACCGCAATTGTCTTATTGTATACATAAAAGGAAAACAGTGTTAATAGTTCAGCTGTTTCGTGACGATATAATAAGGTCTCCTTAAGTTATGCTAAAAGGCATCAACAACGAGAAATATTCATTTTCTTTAAAATTATAACATCCCTTAAGGAACTCAAATGAAATAAGGTAAAAGGACCCAGAGTATGCCTAGGGTAAAGTAATCAACTGATACCCGGTATTGCTTAAAGTGCCTACGCAATTTATTTTCCTGGCTTGCTATGTATGGTGAGGACGTTTGAGAAAGAGGACATGATTCGAGTGATTACTGAACTCTCTCAGACTTAGAGGACTTAGACAATACAACCAGAGATAAGATTGATGCAAGGGAGGAGGCAGGCCCAGGGAAAGATGGATAGAGAGGATTAGAAAAACTATAGACAAAAAGCGACATAACCAGGCAACGGGCAATACAACAAACAAGAGGAAGGCGTTTGCTTCTGCTCTCAACACCGTATGGTAAGTGAGGCCAGAAAACTAAAACAGTTAGGTAAAAACAGATTTCGACGAATGATTCTGGATATTTACAGTCGAAATTGTCAAAGACGGAAACCAATTTTCGGGGAGATAAACGGATTTCTTAAACAGGTGGATGTCTTCGACGGTTTCAGTCTATTTTTAAAAAAATGCAAGGGCAGAATATAGGAAAGTGGGCGTTTGTACAGGTGAAAGATAGTCTTGGGATGTGACCGTTAGAGTAGTTTCAATGGTATTTATGTTGTGTTTTGTGTATCACAAGAGCTTTTCTTTGATCAATTCATTTTTTAAATGTTTATAAATTTCTATTTTTTTTATTGAATGATTGCTTTTTAATGTATTGTTGTTTACGCTGTTGCTGGTATGATGATGATGATGATGATGATGATGATGATGATGATGATGATGATGATGATGATGATGATGATGATGATGATGATGATGATGATGATGATTATGTGTTATTATGATTATTGCTATTCTTATTATTGCTATTCTTATTATGTTATTTTTGTTATTAGTGTTATTACCATTAATACTATTAATT